ACAACAACAACAACAACAACAACAACAACAACAACAACAACAACAACAACAACAACAAACGATTCGGGTGGAGTGTCCGTCTGGGCGCGCGGGATATGTGTGCGCGCCCGCTGCGCCCGCCTTTTCGGGGCGGGAGGCGCCGTATGTGAGTGCCAGGGGTGGCGACGGCCGCACCCCTGGCGCGGTCGACGGGAGAGAGAGATCGGACGGGGCCGGGCCGAAGAGAAAGCCGCCCCAGAGCGTTGCGGGAACGCTCTCCCGGAGCGCTCCGGGGGAACACTCTGGGACGGCCGCGGCGCCCGAGGCGTCTTCCAGGGCGGCCGGGCCTTAGCGAGTCTCGATGCATCCTCGCTCGGATTGATCCTCGTCCTGGCCCTTCGTCTTAGGAGGAGGAGGAGGAGGAGGAGGAGGAGGAGGAGGGGAGGAGGGGAGGAGCGGAGGGAGGGGGGGGGGGAGGAGAGAGGAGGAGGAGGAGGAGGAGGGGGAGGGGGAGGATTCGATGCTCGTCGTTGCTTCGTCTGACAGCTGGGCCCGCCCGTGCTGGTGCAGCTCCGCGCGCTCCGCGCCTCGGCTTGGCACCGCCGGGTCGCGCCGCCGCCTCTGCGGGGTCGGGCGGCGCGCTGGAGCTGGCGGTGGGCCTCCCTGGGGCGCCGCCTCGGGCCCCAGGGCTTCGACCTGGTCGGGCCGGACGACAGGGGGGGGATCCCAGACATCGGGCGTCGCGAAAAAGTCGAGACGGAGGCTTTTCGTCGTTTTCGGCCTCTCGGGGCCCCCTCGCCGGGCCTCGGGGCCGTGGAAAAACGACTCGGGGTGGAAAACCGGTCCCGGGGGAGTGGTCGGTAGGTCGGGGGCCCGTGTCTCGAAAAAATCGAGACGTCGGACGTCTGGGATTGGGAAAGGTGGGGTTACGAAATGTGCTGCATGCAGCTGGTTTCAGCCTCACCGAGGGGCCCATTCCTCGATACACAGCCGCCTCCGGCGCCGGGAGGCGCCGGGAAAGTCAGCCACGTGAGCTGAGTCTCGAACCCCCCCTTTGCTATCCCCCCCTTTCGCCCGACCCGACCTGGGCCTCCCAGTCAAGGGAGGAAAAGCCACCCAGACCCGACAGCTGCCGCGGTCTAAACGGCCCCCTGGGCGTGGTTCGGTGCCTTCTGTGGGCGCGTCTGCGACACGGCTTCGCGCGCCGGGGTGATCACTGTGGGGGTGTATTTTCTGCCCTCTATCGACTAGCCGTAGGAGTGACCTTTCGCCGGAGTGGCCTTTGGTGCAGGCACAGATGGGCCCCCAGATGGTGGAAAACGAAGCAGGAGCGACGGCTTGCGCGCCCAGTTTTGGTCCCCACGCGGCCCCAAAAAAGCCGCGTATCAAAGGTCACTCTTACCCAGGGTCACTCTTGCGTGTAGCCGACTCTAACAGAGGAGGTCGGAGCAGATGGGGGCAGAGGATCGCGCCGCATCGCCAATGTGCACCGTCCCTGGAGATCAGGGCCCGCGCCTTAGTTCTAGGCCTCCCGCATGGGGTCGGAGTCGATGGGGTCGGTGGATCGCCCCACATCGCCAGTTGCATCGGCGATGCGGCTCGATGCGGAGGCCGAGTTTCTCCACGCCGACGTCGCCGATGCATCGCCGACGTCGGCGATGCATCCTCGGTGCATCGGCGATGCCTCGGCGATGCGGCGCGACCCGCCGACCCCATCCACTCCGACTCCATTTGGGAGGCCCCTATGAAAAAGTTTGTTTTGATAGCGGCGATGTGGGGCGCAAGGCGTCGATAAGCAGCAGCTGGGACGCGGCAGAGCTCATTGCGCGCCGGGACTCATAGAAAAGCAGGAGAGCGACCGCGGAGGAGGACGCCGCGCTCTAAGCATACAGCACTTCACGCATGGTGCAGGCGGCCTCAGGCCACAGGAGTCGGAGAAAAAGCCCCAGAGACAGCACCCCACGGCGCGAAATCCATACGCAAGATTGGGCCGAGGCTTCCAGGCACCGACGGTGGAGATCGCTCAGGGTTGGGCGATTCAGGCGGTGACCAGAACCATTGCCCCCACCGTCTTGGCAGGAGTTTCCCAGATTGGTCGTGGCCCCGCAGCCTCGGAGCAGCTTGGCTAAGAGACCCTCGTCGTCTCTACAGATTCCCTCCTCCTCCTACTTGGGGAACAGCTTGCTGTGCACCGTGCAAGTCGAAGCATCATGGGGAGGTGGTGGACATGTTGGTGCAACCCTTGAGAAGAGGATGGGCTGGCATCCCCCAGAAGAGTTTGGGCTTGGCGCGACAGGCGCGCAGGATACGCGTGCGCCACTTTGCATCCGTATTCTCAATCTCTTTCTCTCTTTTGTTTCCTCTCTAAGGTGTAATGGAAGAGGTCTGGCACAACTCCAGCCCGAAGTTGTGCACAGTAAAGGGGGGAGCTGACTGGACATGCAGCAGACAGGACCCGATCGACCTGAAATTGAAATGGCGGGCGGGAATAAGATCGAATTTGGGGAAAAAATATTAGAGCTCTAACGAATGGTCAAATTTCGAGAACGTAATTTTCAACCGACCAAAATTATGCAAAACTTCCGTCGAGATTTTTCGGGCCAACTAGCCCCCCAGCGCGCCGGAATTACTGGGAACCGGCGGTGGACCGTCAACCTTGGTTACCGCCGGGATCTCGTAGAGCTTCCTTGCCACATACATGAATGGGATGCGGGCGCGGCAATCTCGCATCCCGTGCGCGCGAGGGTGCTGTTTCATGGGGAGGACGTGGAGGAGAAGAGGAGTGAGGAGGAGAAAGAGGTGGAGGAGGCTGAGGAACAGAGAAGAGAGTGAGAAGGAGGAGAAAGCAGGAGGAGGAGAAGGAAGGGGAGAAGGAAGAGAAGGATGACGAGCAGGAGGGGGAAGGGTGGAAGGGGAGAAGGGCGACGATGATCATGATGAGGAGGAGGAGGAGGAAGAGAAGGAGAAGGAGGAGGAGAAAGAGGAAAAGAAGCAGATGAAGGAGGAAGAGGAGGGGAGGAGAAGGGAGAGGAGAAAGAGAAGGCGGAGGAGGAGGAGAAGGAATTCAATTCAGAAACGCACATCATCTCTGGTACAATACAAACAGTGCGAATAGTTGTCCGGTCGTAGCTATGGTTGCAGTCCGAATTCAGACGCCTCGATACCGTAGGCGAATGTACCTGGTTACCTTCAGCTTCGACAAGTGTTTGTGTTTCAGGTCCGTAGCCAGCCTACAAATCGGATGAAGTCGGAACAAACTATCATTATCTCTTTAAAAATCAGCAGAGTACGAATAGTTGTTTTGTTCCAGCTCGTGTAGCAGACCGAGTTCAGGCATCTAGATACTTGAACTAGCGCGCCTTTGGATTGTCTTCCAAGTGCTGTGCCGAACAGCTCGGTAGCTCATCTGCAGCTCGGTAGCTCATCTGCAGCCGAAGAGCTATCGACCTCCCAGAACACCATTCCCGGGCCACATTCTGAATGCCCGGAGCCAACTGTAGGCCACTTCGTGCTCTTCCACTTCCCAGAACTCCACTCCCAGGCCACATTTTGAATGCCCGGAGCCAACTGTACGCCACTTCGTGCTCTTCCATTGCTCCCATCACTCCTACTCGTTCACTCCACACACTACAACTACTACTTCACTGTTACCACTACTACCATCACTACTACTTCTATTGCTACTACTACTGTTACTATTACAGCTGCTGCTGCTGTTGCTGCTGCTAGTGTAGAGCTATTGCTACTGCAACTACTGGCAGTGCCACTGCGACTGCCGCTGATGTTGCCACTGCGACTGCCACTGCGAATCCGAATGCGACTGCGAGAACACCAGAATTCTACAACAGCACTCTTATATGAATACCACAGGCAATGTTCCCAGCTATGCTTCTACACATCGCTGTTAGGTTGCTTTGCCGGGATAATCTCTGGGGGTTTGAAGCATTTTGGCTTGTTGGGGACATCCTTGGGGAGCTCTTTTGGCCACTTGGAGCCGTTTTGTTGCGGTCTGTCCAGGTCTAGGGGAGGGGGTAAGGGGGAGGGGTAAACCCCTTCCCAAAGGGGAGGAACGAGGGGTGGAAGAGGAAACGCTCTAAACCACCAACGCCCAGAAGGCTGGTGGGATGTTTGGTTCCGGGCACCTAAAAGAGTCTTCAAGACTGAGGACTGAGGCTCGGGGTATTTGGCAAATGAATTGAGGGCGCGCCCACTCCGTGCCCAGAGGCACGGTGGCGGATTATTGAACACTTGGTTACGCATTCAGACCTTTCTCCTCATACTGTGCATATGCGGCCCTTCGGTACGACTGGGGGCACGAATCTGGAGCAATGTACAATGTGGTTTCGGGAGCGCGAATCTGGTGCAAATTACGGGCTGGCGTAATTTACGACAGATATGGCCTCGAGCGGAGATTTGGTGTAACTCGCCAGGGGGCATGGCTTCGGGGGCGCGAATCTGGCGCATTTTACTAGGGATTATTGTTCAGGGAGCGCGAATCTGGAGTAGTTTACGTGGTGTTTTGGCTTCGGGGGCACGAATCTGGCATTTCTTACGTGGGATTCCGGCCTCGGGAGCAGGACCCTGGTGTAATTTATATAGGGTTCTAGGCTCGGGGGCGCGAATTGGGCGCGTAGTACAGAGAGGGCGTCTGGCTTCGGGAGCGCGAATCTGGCGTAACTTTTGTGGAGTTCTGGCTTCGGGAGCGCGAATCTGTCGTAGTTCACGCTGGGTTGTGGCTGTTGGAACGCAATTCTAGCATCCTTAAATCGGGACTCGAATCTGGGTCAAACTGCAAGGAGTTGAGTTTGGCGTCGGGGGGGCGAGTGCGGCGTACATTAGGACGGGATCTGGGTTCGGGGGCGCAGATCTAGCGTATTTCAATTGGGTTCTCGCCTTGGGAGCGCGAATCTTGTGTATGTATATATTACGAGGGATTCTGGCCTCGGGAGCGCGAACCTGGCGCAATCTTGTATTGGGCACACCAAGCGTACGTTACTGCAGATTCTGGCTTTGGGAACACGAAGCTGACGTTACTCGGGGGCATCGTTTTGGCTCAAGCTATTTTTGGTCACAACTGCATACACAGACACTCGATTGTCCCCAGCGGCAGGCCCTGCGGCGACGATGACCCACATGCCTTCCATCATGCGCGGACGCCACCGCGCATTCCTTATCCATAACGTGCTGAATTGTTATGTGTGCGGCCAAGTATTGTGGGAAGATCGCGCCCAGCAAGGTGACAACGTCAGTGCGCAGGACATGCAACTTTTCCAGGTTCTCCTTCTCTCGCGCCAGGAGGCCACCGATAGTTGCAGCGCGTTCCGATTCGCCAAGGCTGCCCCGTCTGCGTGCTATCCAAGGGATGGCGGAGCTTCTGACAGCCTCGCTGACACCGCCGCCGTGAGCGTCCGTGGCTTCGATAACGACCAGGTCCAGCGCGCAGTGTCCTACTTGGGAGATAACGCTTCGTTTGCGTACCTTGCGGCGGATCTGGCCTTCGATACGAACGCCGCGTACAGGCCGACGCACGCGGACGACGCGGACGCAGCAGACCAGGCCCGGTTCTGGAATGAGTTCGAGGATGTGGTGACGGCCCAACTTCTGAGGAGGAACGGGGCTCTCACTCAGGATATCATGTCCGTGCATCCGCTCTTCGCCGGGGACACAATGGAGCAGTCCGCCCAGCGCGTCCGTGCGGACTTCCCCACGCAGTTTCCTACGGAGCAAATTATGAGCTACTTGGGCAGCATGGCGCTCACAATGGACCCGGAAATCTTCGGCCAGGCCAGTTGCGCGAGCACGGTCGAGTTTGTGAACGGCCCAGTGGCTTTAGGGAGGATGATCGGCTGGGCGATCGCAGAGGTGTCGCCCGCCGCCTTCGCTTGCAAGTGGTACGTCGGCCGCGCGCGGCCCGAGGAGGTTGCGTACAACCTCAGCCAGGGGGGGTTGAGCCAGGCCCCGGCCAACGTCAGGGCGATGGTGGACGGCATGGGCTTGACCGCGCGCGAGTCTTTCACCGCCTATTCCGAAGGGTGCCCCGTGCACCCATCTTGGCCGGCTATGCATTCGGCGGCCTCCTCTCTGTCGACTTGGCTTGACGTCGTGGCCCTCCTGACCCCAGCGCAGCGCAATGAGGTGCGACTCCTGGATTACTCTGTTGCTTACTTCCGCACGTTCGCAGGCGTTCACTACGATTCTGACAACCGTGCCGGCCTGGCACTCGGCCAGAAGATCGTGAGGGAGAAGTTGCCGGACTACCTCTCGGAGAAGTACGGCTGCGACGCCGCCAGCAAGGCCGCAATCAGGTCGCACGTGCAGAGCAAGATCGCGTCGCTGGAGGTTCTGGATTGGGCAACTTGGACGCCTGATCATTGGATTCGCCCTTCCGCGTACTACTCCTCACTCCGACGCCGACAAGCGGATCGCGTGCTGCCCAAGAGCCAGAGCGGAGCATCCCTGTCTTCCACAGATACGACTGCGGCTATCGTGAAGCCGTCTGTGGCGCTGTGGGCCGGAGGATCCCACGGCAGCCCGCGAGCCGCCCAACGGAAGGCGCTGGCGGGCAACGACGGGTGCACCGAGTATCGTTTTGGAAAAGCTGCTGAAGGCGCATGTTACCCGCGGAGCGGTGGAGCCTCCGACAGCTTGAGGGAGACCACCGCCGTCAGCGTCCGCGGGTTTCACGGTAACGACCAGGTCCAGGCTGCTGTGTCCCACTTGGGCGCGAACGTTTCGTTTGCACAAGTCGCTGCCGACTTGGATTTCGACACGAATGTTGCACTCAAGCCGACGCACGCGGACGACGCAGACGCCGCCGACAAGAGTAGATTTTGGGCGGAGTTCGAGGAGGTGGCGGCAGCCCAGCTTCTGAGGATTCAAAACCGCAGAACAGAAGAAATCATGTCTGTGCATCCACTCTTCGACGGGGATACGATGGAGCAGTCTGCCCAGCGCGTCCGAGCTGACTTCCCCCCGTTCTTTCCGACGGAGCAGGTCATGGATTATTTGCAGAACATGTCGCTGACGCTGGACCCCGACATCTTCAACCAGCCCAGCTGCACAAGCCGTGTCGAGTTTGTTAACGGCCCGGTAGCTTTGGGAAGGATTATCGGTTGGGCGATTGCCGAGGTGTCGCCCGCCTGCTTCGCTTGCAAGTGGGCCGTCGGTCGCGCGCGACCCGAGGAGGTCGCTTACGGAGTCATCCAGGGCGAGCTTCCCGATGCCCCCATGCGGGTCAAGCAGATGATGGCCGACTTCGTGGCCGCCAAGCCTGTGAACAGCGCCGAAGACTTCACCGCGTACACCGAGGGCTGCCCTGTGCACCCGGCCTGGCCCGCCATGCACTCCGCCGCCTCCAGCTTGTCCTCGTGGTTGGACGTCGTTGCCATCCTCACCCCCGCGCAGCGCGAGGAGGTGCGGCTCCTGGACTTCTCTGTCGCGTTCTTCCGCACCTTCGCGGGCGTTCACTATGCGGCGGATAACCGCGCTGGCTTGGCGCTTGGGCGGAAAATCGTGGAGTCGAAGTTGCCCGACTTCTTGGCCGAGACGTACGGCTGCGACGCGGCGTCCGCATCCGCGATCAGGGCGCGCGCCGCAGCCAAGATCCAGTCATTCAATTCGGACACCCTGAGCGGGCACCCCTTCAGCTGGGCCACTTGGACACCCGAGAAGTGGATCAGCCCAACGCAGTTCTTTGACGCATCCGGCAGCGCCATCGGTGACCCACACATGCGGAACATGTTTGGTCAGAGCTTTGACATCGCACGGACTGGCGAGCACGTGCTCATCAATATTCCACAAAAATGTGGCCCAGATGAGATTCTTCTTCGCGTGGGTGCGGAGGTGCGAAGCGACCGACATGCACATTGCGCGACCGACATGTACATCAAGGCGCTCAACATCACTGGTGCGTGGGCCAATAAGCAGCAGACGAATGGCTTCAGGTACTTGGCGAGCCATCGTGATCAGCGCCAGCCATGGAGGTGGTTCGGCAAGGTTGAGCTGAAGGTGGCGTGGGGCCGCACGCGCGACGGGGAAGATTACCTTAATTTCTATGTCCGCCACTTGAGCACTGTTGGTCACGCGGTCGGGGGTATCCTCGGCATCGACGATCATTCAGAGGCATCATCCCCGGACGAGAGGTGCAAACGCTCCCTCACGCTCGCAGAATACGCGGATTGAGTCGGATGCTCGTGCTGCGCTTGCGAGCTAACACTAAGAGCTCGTGTAGACTCTGTATGCCTCATAAATTGGTTGTATGCCTGTGTGGAGTAGTGTCGTATGAGGGCATCAAGAGGGCCCCAAAGGGCCCGAATCGAGCCCCAATATGACCCCCAGGATCGCCCTCGAGACGACCCCAAAATGTGATTTCGCCTGAGACATCCTCACCAAATCGATATGTTCGTAACGTAGATCTTATATCAACCATAAGCGTTTCGCCAGAGACATCCCCCAACACATGGGAAGCCGCGAAATTGACATATGTTCAGAAACTGGTGTATCGCCTGAGACATCCTCACACCAATGATATGTTGGAGAGGCGGTTTTATTACCTCTCATGTAAAAATTGCGCTTTCGCTGCAGACATCCTTAGAACATCGGGCGGAGCACGGCAGACGAAAAAAAAACACGGCAGAGAATGAGTATTTCTGCCGTGTTCTTTCGTTTTTGGGGTCTATCTGCCGTTCTCTTTAGCGCTTGGGGTATACTCTGCCGTGCTTCTGATTTTTTGTTTGCCGTTCTCCTTTGCTCTTCGGGCCTCTCCTGCCGTGCTCCTTAGCTCTTGGGGTCTATTCTGCCGTGCTCCTGGTCTTTTTCTGCCGTGCTCCTTCGCTCTTGTGGCCTCTTCTGCCGTGCTCCTCAGCTCTTGGGGTCTATTCTGCCGTGCTCCTATTTTTTTCCGCCGTGCTCCTTAGCTCTTGGGGCCTATTCTGCAGTGCTCCTGGTCGTTCTTCTGCCGCGCTCCTTAGCTCTTGGGGTCTATTCTGCCGTAGTCCTGGTCTTTTTCTGCCGTGCCCCTGAGCTCCGGGGGTCCATTCTGCCGTGCTCCTGGTCTTTTTCTGCCGTGCTCCTTCGCACTTGGGGCATCTTCTGCCGTGCTCCTTGTCTCTTGGGTTCTATTCTGCCGTGCTCCTCGTCTTTTTCTGGTTTGCTCCTTCGCTCTTCGGGCCTATTCTGCCGTGCTCATGGTCTTTTTCTGCCGTGCCCCTGAGCTCTGGGGGTCTACTCTGCCGTGCTCCTGTTTTTTTTCTGTCGTGCTCCTTCGCTCTTGGGGTCCATTCTGCCGTGCTCCTTCACTCTTCGGGTCTATTCTGCCGTGCTCCTGGTCTTTTCTGTCGTACTCCTTGGCTCCTCGGGCCTTTTCTGCTCTGCTTCGGTCTTTTCTGCCGTCCTCCTTAGCTCTTGGGGCATCTTCTGCCGTGGTCCTGGTCTTTTTCTGGCGTCTCTTTCGCTCTTGGGGCCTATTCTGCCGTGCTCCTTAGCTCTTGGGGTCTATTCTGCCGTGCTCCTGGTCTTTTTCTGCCGTGCTCGGCAGCTCTTGGGGTCTATTCTGCCGTGCTCCTGGTTTGTTTCCGACGTGTTCCTTCGCTCATGGGGCCTATTCTGCTGTGCTCCTGGTCTTTTCCTGCCGTGCTCCTTCGCTCATGGGGCCTAGTCTGCCGTGCTCCTGTTTTTTTCTGTCGTGCTCCTTCGCACTTGGGGCATCTTCTGCCGTGCTCCTTGTCTTTTGGGTTCTACTCTGCTGTGCTCCTCGTCTTTTTCTGGTTTGCTCCTTCGCTCTTGGGGTCTATTGTCCCGCACTCCTTTAGCTCTTGGGGTCTACTCTGGCGTGCTCCTGGTTTTTTCTGCCGTGCTCCTTCGCTCTTGGGGCCTATTCTGCCGTGCTCCTGGTCATTTTGTGCCGTGCTCCTTAGCTTTGGGGGTCTATCCTGCCGTACTCATTTGCTCTTGGGGTCTATCCTGCCGTGTTCCTTGTCTTTCTCTGCCGCACTCCTTCGCTCTTGGGGCCTATTCTGCCGTGCTCCTGATCTTTGTCTGCCGTGTGCGCCCAGAAACTCTGCCAAAACGACCACCGCGACGATCCGCACGGCAGATACAGGAACACGGCAGAACACACAGAGCACACAGAGGCACGGCAGAACACAGAAGCACGGCAGAACAGGAGCACGGCAGAACATACAGGAGCACAGCAAAACACACCCCGCACGCACGCCGACACGCGCGCCACGGCATACTGTGCGGCGTAACAACAACATAGCATTTTCCACATGCGTGGTGGACTAAAGCGGCGCTTCCCGTTCTTGTCCGGTTAGGTTCTTCAAAACAACGATTTCGTTCGAGACATCCTCCGACAATGGAGATGTTGGAGGCTATCGTTTAAGACGTTGTCTGTTCAACATGACGTTTTTGCTCGAGACATCCTCAAAACGTCGGCATGTTGAAGAATGTCAAGGCTATTGTTGTACATGCAAAATGGGCGTTTCGCCCGAGACATCCTCGAACAAATGATATGTTGGAAAAGCTGGTTTACTACCTCTCATATAACACACATGGCTCTTTCGCTCGGGACATCCTCAGAACATCTGGAGGGGCGCGGCAGACCGAAAAAGCAGCACGGCAGAACATGTTCATTTCGCTGGGGGCATCCTCAACAAATGAGATGTTCGCAACATTGCCTCGACATCGTTCTCGAAGTGCTTCAAGATGGGGAAATGAGAGCCCCAAAAGGAGCCCAAGATGTCTCCAACAGCGCCCTGGAGACTGCCGAAAATGACGATTTCGCTGGGGACATCCTCAAAACATGAACAACAGCAACAACATCGTTTTGAAAACTGCTGTTTTAACATCGTCTTGGAATCGCTCTTGAAAAGGCTTCCTGATGGTCTAAGCCAGCCTTCTAAACATAACGTTTTCGCTAGGGACATCCTCAAACATGAATGTGTCTAACATCGCACTGTAAAGATTTCGGAGGGCATCAAGACGGCCCCAAAGGGCCCCAAGCTAGCCCCATATGCCCCCCCCAGGATCGCCCTCGAGACGACCCCAAAATGTGATTTCCCCTGAGACATCCTCACACAATTGATGTGTTCGTAACATCGATTTCATCAAAAATCAGCGTCAGCAGCTCTTAAGGTTTATTCTGTCGTGCTCCTGGCCTTTTTCTGCTTTGCTCCTTCGCTCTTGAGGCCTCTTCTGCCGTGCTCCTTAGCTCTTGGGTTCTATTATGCCGTGCTCTTTTTTTTGGTTTGTCTGCCGTGCTGCTTCGCTCATGGGGCCTATTCTGCCGTGCTCCTGTCTTTTTTTTCTGCCGTGCTCCTTTCTTCTTGGGGTCTATTCTGCCGTGGTGCTGATCTTTTTCTGTCGTGCTCCTTCGCTCTTGGGGTCTATTCTGCCGTGCTCCTGGTCTTTTTCTGCCGTGCTCGGCAGCTCCTGGGGCCTATTCTGCCGTGCTCCTGATGTGTTTCTGCCGTGTTCCGTCGCTCTTCGGGCCTATTCTGCCGTGCTCTTGGTCGTTTTTTTTTTCTGCCGTGCTCCTTAGCTCTTGGGGTCTATTCTGCCGTGCGCCTCGTCTTTTTCTGGTTCGCTCCTTCGCCCATGAGGTCTATTCTGCCGTGCTCCTTCGCTCTTGGGGTCTATCCTGCCGTGCTCCTGGTTTGTTCTGCCGTGCTCCTTAGCTCGTCGGGTCTATTCTGCCGTGCTCCTGATTTGTTTCTGCCGTGCTCCTTCGCTTTTGGGGTCTATCCTGGCGTGCTCTTGGTATTTCTCTGCCGCGTTCCTTCGCACCTGATGCGTATTCTGCCCTGCACCTTAGCTCCTGAGGTCTATTCTGCCGTGCTCCTGGTATTTTTCTGCCGTGCTCCTTCGCTCTTGAGGCCGATTATGCCGTGCTCATGGTCTTCTTCTGTCGTGCTCCTTCGTTCTTGGGATCTATTCTGCCGTGCTCCTTCACTCGTCGGGTCTATTCTGCCGTGCTCCTGGTTGTTTTTCTGTCGTACTCTTTGGCTCTTCGGGCCTATTCTGCCGTGCGTCGGTCTTTTTTTTCTGCCGTGCTCCTTAGCACTAGTGGCCTATTCTGCCGTGCTCCTTGGCTCTTCGGGTTTATTCTGCCGTGTTCCTTGTCTGTTTGATCTGCCGTGCTCCCTAGCTCGTCGGGCATATTCTGCCGTGCTCATGTTTTGTTGTATATATATGTATAACAAATCTAGCGTCTTGTTCGCTCTTGGGGCCTAGTGTGCCGTGCTCCTTAGCTCTTGGGGTCTATGATGCCGTGCTCCTGGTCTTTTTCTGCCGTGTTCCTTCGCTCCTCAAGCCGTGCTCCTGATGTGTTTCTGCCGTGCTCCTTAGTTCTTGCGGTCTTTTTTCCGCCGTGCTCCTCAGCTCTTGGGTATGTTCTGCCGTGCTCCTCAGCTCTTGGGATATAGTTTGCCGTGCTCCTGGTTATGCCGTACTATCTCGCTCTTCGGGCCTGTTCTGCCGTGCTCCTGGTCATTTTCTGCCTTGCTCTTCAGCTCTTGGGGTTTGTTCTGCCGTGCTCCTGGTCTTTTTCTGCCGTGCTCCTTCGCTCATGGGGCCTGTTCTGCCGTGCTCCTTAGCTCTTGGGGTCTATGTTGTCGTGCTCCTGGTCTTTTTCTGCCGTGTTCCTTCGCTCCCCAAGCGGGTTTCTATCGTGCCGTGCTCCAGTTTTTGTCTGCCGTGCTCCTTCGCTTTTCGGGCCTATTCTGCCGTGCTCCTGGTCGTTTTTTCTGCCGCGCTCCTTAGCTCTTGGGGTCTATTCTGCCGTGCTCCTGGTCTTTTTCTGGTTGGCTCTTTCGCTCTTGAGGTCCATTCTGCCGTGCTCCTTCACTCTTCGGGTCTATTCTGCCGTGCTCCTGGTCTTTTTTTCTGCCGTACTCCTTGGCTCTTCGGGCCTATTCTGCCGTGTCCTGCTCTTTTTGTTGCCGTGCTCCTTCGCACTTGAGGCGTATTCTGCGCTGCACTTTAGCTCCTGGGGTCTATTATGCCGGGCTCCTGGTCGTTGTGTGCCGTGCTCCTTCGCTCATGGGGCCTAGTCTGCCGTGCTCCTGTTTTTTTTTTGGTTTCCGTCGTGTTCCTTCGCTATTCGGGCCTATTCTGCCATGCTCCTGGTGCCTATTCTGCCGTGCTCCTTAGCTCTTGGGGTCTATTCTGCCGTGCTCCTGTTTTTTTTTTCTGCCGTGCTCCTTCGCTCTTGGGGCCTATTCTGCCGTGCTCCCAGTCTTTTTCTGTCGTGCTCCCTAGCTCTTGGAGTCTATTATGCCGTGCTCCTGTTTGTTTGTCTGCCGTACTCC